TTTCTAATTCTAAACTTGGTCCTCAAATCGCACAGGTGATAGCAGATAAGGAACCAAATTATTATCTATTCGATTATCACTTTTTAAAAAAAGATTAATTACATTTTAATTTAAAATAACATTACATTTAGTTTTTAAAGATGTATTCTGATTTTCTGAAGATAAATACCATTGAAAGTACAGTGGGGGGACACTTATTGATCCTGTCACAAGGCAGGATATATTTATTCTGTATACCTTCTATATGTTTGTATGTACTGTATAATATATATATATATATATATATATATATACCATCATGTGATCCTTATACAGACAGCCCAGTTCTTGTACAGCACGGAGAGTCATACATTTCCTAATCCACAACGTGTTTGGTCCTTGTAATGATGAGGGGGGACAGCAGAGTGAGGAATGAAATGATTGTACTGTCACTTTGTTCTGAATGAAGATGAATCACATTTTTAAAATATTAATTAAACTAAATTTTTAAGTTAAATAAAATTACATGAAAAATAAATCACTTATTATTTTTTATGAATATAAATGCCATTGAATGCACAAAGGGGGACATTTATCGATTCCTTTACAAGCCAGGATGAGTTTATTGTATATAACTTCCATTTTTATCATAACAGGTGACCATACACTCTACAATCTGATTGTACTTTAGAGCTACCATCAATTGTGTAGTGAAGACCATTTTTAATGTTTATAGTAAAAAGTGGCAATACACTATACAATCTGATTGTCCAGTCTACTTTGGATCTACCATCAATGATGTACCCTGTTTATTGGCTACAAGATTGAATGGACCGTTTAGGTTTGGCCGCATATTAAACCGTTTTGGTACATTTAAAGGAGGTTGTACAGGGATTGTATAATCCCATTGTAGTGTGTCTGGCCATCCCAATGCAGAGTAAAAGATACTGCAGAAGTCATTTTCACTTTTTAAAATAATACTGTAATTATTCCCAAGTAATTAGCAGAGGAAAACAAATCCATGTTCCTGCCATCTTTTTATTTTCCAACATAATAGAAGAAAGATAACGCTCTTCACTGTTTTGTGTCTGGATATGAATTGCATGCATTTTTTAAATGTGTTTTCAATAAATTTTTCAAATGTTTTTCATGCACTCCCATTGACATCTATGGGACCAAAAATGCACTGTCACACCAAAAGAAGCGCCTGTACCTGCACAGAAGCACATAATGTAGGTGTGAACAGGCTGCATATACAATAATGGGATTTCTGGTGTCATGCATTGGGTGAAGTGTGACAAATCAGACAGGTGTGAATGGGGATGTAAGGCCTCCTTCTGACCTATTCACAGTAAAACACCTTATCACACAGCAATTTGTAGGCAGCATTGTGTTTCTATTCACATAGAACAGCATCTTACTGAACAAGCACAGTAGCAGTCAATGCACCGCACCAGTGCTGTAATGCACCAAAACACATTATGTACTGGGCTGCTCTGCATTACAAAAAATAGTTTGAATCTTGGCCGGTTCAGCTAGAACCGTCTGAGATTTGAACCATGTATGGGCTGGCTGAATGTACCCAGGGCCAGTGTTTCCACTAGGCGGCCATCTAGAGCACATTGCCACCTCGGGGTGCCTGGGTACTGCACAGGCCGGCACTCCCTCTTTGTGGGATGGTGCCACGTCACATCACCTCAGCTGAGCGGAGGGGCTACAGAGGGGAGGAAGAAAGGACAGAGGAAGATGCCGGGTTTCTGGGGCCAGTGTAGCAGCTGAGCTGAGCTCCTTCCAGTGTTCCTCTCAGACTCAGTCCCTTACTAAAAGCCAGCTGGCGACTGGTGATCACTGTGGAGTTCCAGCCCTTCTCTTCCCATTCATCAGCAGAGGCGGAGCGGTGCCTGCAGATGAAGTTAATGTCTGACTCTGATATCTTGTGTCTGTGTGAGTGTGACCTGGCCTGCCGGCCATCCATCACATATACAATGTGTCAGTGAGTGATGACATCATCCTGATCCTACATCCTGCTCTTCTAGTGCCTGCTGGGCCTGCTGATCTGTGTCAGTGTTGGTAGTGGTGTGCTGTGTCCAATCTGCCACTGTGTGTGATCGCTCAGTTCAGCTATCTACTGTCAAAGCATTTTATCCCCCCCTTCCACCCATTATCTGGGGAACGCCAGGCTGGGATCTGTCAGAGTGTGGATCCATCATCCTCCACTCACTGCAGCTGTCACCTTGCTACTGCCAGCCACAGATACAGTCCGTCCGTGACACTGATCTGGTCTGTAATATTGGTATTGGTGGCATCTTATGTCACTTATTTTTGCAAATTAAGACATTTAGAAATTTCATGTTTTGTTAATTTAATATTTTCTACTGTTTTTTCAAATGTATTTATTTATTTATTTTTTTAGGGGGCAAGTAGCTGGTCTTGCCTATGGCGCACAATAGTCTAGCACCGGCCCTGCATGTACCTAAGTTGATGATTCCCCTGTCAGCACTGTCTGTCTGTCAACACCCGTTGTAGAAAAACAATTGGATCCATGTATGGCCTGCCTAATGGCTTCATGGGGAACTAAACCTATCGATTTTACAGTTTCCAAAAACTGTTATATTCAAGGCATTCCATGAACAGTGGTGTCCCTAGGCGGGTTCAGGGGGTGCGCGTGTGACACATATCACACAGGGTGACACCGGACCCTCTCCACGAGCTCAACGACAAGGAAAGTTTTAAAGAAAGCCGATGATCCCCGCAAGATGGATCGCATCTGCTGATTAAGCATAATGGATCGGAGTCCGATCCATTATGCTCCCAATCTGCAGATCCGATCCATCTTGCGGGGATCATCGGCTTGCAACCTATACGGGGTTATCTGATCTAGGTAAGGCTGTGCAAGATCCGGGACTTGTCTGTAACCATGAAATGCCGCCGCAATAGCAGGAACCTCCTCCATCTGACATCACTGCTGGAGCATGTGCAGACTAGACCGGGGTTTAAAGATCAGTTAACCCCGTATAGGTTGTAAGCCAACAATCCCCGCAAGATGGATCGGATCTGCAGATTGGGGAGCATAATGGATCGGACTCTGATCCATTATGCTCAATCTGCAGATCCGATCCATCCTGCGGGGATCGTTGGAAGGGTGACACCAAGTGGTACCGCACCGGGTGATACCAACCCCAGGGACGCCACTGGCCATGAATGATCACTGTCACATTGCCTTGTGCTCTCAACAGAACTGTCAAGCATCAAATGACTGGTGGTATAACTGATCATATGTGCAGCACCATGGCAACTGCAGATCAAACAGAGGCTAAGATGGCAGCTTCCCTGGCTGTAAAGGATAGGAGGGTTTATTTCCACTTTAACTTAATGGAACGTACATGAATGCACAAAGTACTGCATATAATGTACATGTATTAGCACACCATGATGGCCCACACAGATCTGAGGTCCCATTCCTATCTTCGGGTTGCAGCGTTGCACCGTTCACTATAGTTCATTTTACGCACAAACTGCGTTGTGGTGCGCTGCAATGACGTTCATCGTAAAGGGCACCACAACGCACTAATACAATAAATGTCAGGTGTATTGGTGTGTGAAGGTGTGTGAAGGTGTTCTCTCTGCTCCTTCTAAATGAATAAGCCACTTTTGGACTTTTACGTATGCACACCTACAAACACCATGTTTTTGAGTATTCTGGGATTTCTGGGAAATGCAGCCCATTGTTTTTAATGGGCCTGTACACACAGATGCCTAAAAATCAGTAAAACAAAATACAAAAAATCTGCAAGGCTGGTCATCAATTTAAGGGTGTACGCATGTGCAAATACACATGTGTGAGCACATTTGCTACACCCCCTCGATAAAAAAAAAGTGCAAGGAACAAAAGTTTGTGCATAAATAGATAATAGTCCTCATGCACACTGGGCGTTTTAAAAACACAGGTAGCATTAGCTGTATAAGTTTTTCAGCATTTTCTAACATTTTTGCATTAGCATTCAGCCGCGTTCTTCCGCATTTTTTCACGTTAGCGTTTTTTACAAAAAAAGAAATTGGGCTAAAAATACCCCTCAAAAACACTGGTTTGCGGCGTTTTGCACGTTTTACTGCGTTTGCAAGCGTTAGAGCGTTTTTACAGCTAACAAACTCTAGAAACACACTAGTTCTGGATTTTTTTTCCAGCCAAAAAAACCCTCCTACCTAAAAACACTGATTACAGTCTATGTGTGCATGGATACATAGAATAACATGCTGGGAAGTTTACTGGCTGTAGAAAAAAAATGCCAACAGCCAAAAACAGCCGCTGTAAAAATGTCCAGTGTGCATGAGGACGAAAAATTACCCCGTTCTTTTTTTTTCAATCGTATTTTATACGCCTGCCTCAGATGCAGATTTTAGGATTCTGTGTTACAGATCTGAACTCAGCCCATATTTCCACACCTGTATGAATGTCTATTGAAAACAATGCAGCTGCGTTCAGATCTGTAAATAAAAAGATTGAAAACGTGTTTTTCTTTTACTGCTGTGTGAATGCGTTTGTATGTGTACATGCATTTATGTGCATAGTCATATGTAATATATAACCCATCCTTGCATTTTTATGCAGGAATTTTCTGCCAGGAATATCTGATGTTCACACATCAGTTCCGTTTGCAAGGACCCTAATGCATGAGAACTCATCCTGTTAAAGCAATATATACCCAGGGGCGGACTGACCATTTGGAAACTTGGGCACTGCCCGAGGGCCCGGGGGCAGTAGGGGGCCCCATGAGATGCCGCTGATACATTTTTCATAGGCTTTTTTGAGTTTGGGCAAGGACACATAACCCCCTATTGCCAGGGGGCCCCATGAGTTGTCAGTCCGCCCCTGTATATACCCTAAGGCTCTGTTCACACCTATGCAGTTTGCTTTTTCTTCCTTCTGTAGTGCTTTTCGCAGTTTGTTTTGCGTTTTTCTACATGAGTTTTTGACACAATTTTGCCGTAATTTTGCTGCAATTTGCGTTTTGTTCAGCTTTTTTTTTTAAGTGGAAATTTTGCTGGGCAGAATAAAAATGCAAAACTCGACAGATTCACAGCAAAAACGCAATACCATGCACTTCAGCAGATTCTCCATTGAACTCTATTGTAGCAAAAATGCTGTTTTTTTGCTTTTAAAAAAGTCCCTGACCCTTTCCAAAAATGCAGTAGCTCAAAAAAGCATAGATGTGAACATGTTCCATAGGAAACCATGGTAAATGGACTGTTATGCGTTTCTGCAAAAAGCACTAAAAAACGCATAGGTGTGAACGGAGCCTTGCTGAACCCAAAAGGGACCCAAAGCTTTTACTTCTGTACAGGATGTTGAAACTGAAAATATTTTTACAGCCACTTTGATCTCGGGTAAAGTATTGTCATTACAGATACTCATTTGTAAATAAACAAACACTTTTGTGTTTCTTGGAATTAGATTTTGGTAGATGTCAGCTGCATTCACACATGGGCGTTTTGAATCGTGAGCAGAATCGCTGCAATTCTGTCCGCAATTTTAAAATGCTCTGCTAAAACGACAAATCGCTCAACTGCGTGTTCAAGTGCCACTCATTTTAAGCTCTGGTTCACATATATGTGGCCGTGCGGGACGCGTTTTGCGTGGGGCATGAGAGTCCATTCATTTGAATGGACTCCCGTGCCCCGTGACACGCAGGGAAGAAGTCCCTGCACTTCTTCTGAAAACGCAGCCAGCACAGGAACCTCGGTTCCCAGCACGGTTGCGTTTTCCAGTGCAGGCAGCGTGCCATTAGAACTAATGGCACCCACCCGCAGGTCCCCATTCCTCTGTGCGGGTGGTGCGGCTGCACAGATTTTCATGTGGATCCGCAGCGGCACCACCCGCACAAATGTGAACCTAGCCTTATGGCACCTAAAAATGCGGTGCGGTTGTGCAATAAGTTCAGGAACGTTTTCTAGGCGACATGCTTCGCATGATGCGGTTTGCCACGATTTATTGTACAACAATCACAGAAGAACCGCACCTTTTTCATGTGACATTAAAATGAATGGCGCCTGAACATGGCATCCCGCGATTTGTCATGTTCGCAGAGCATTTTGAAATCCAGGATTCTGCCCGCAAATCAAAACGCTCATATGTGAATGCAGCCTAAAGTATAACGAAAGGAATTTTTTGAAGTTTTAAATGGAATGGAGAGGTTATGGAATGCCAACTGGGGTGGACTGACAACTCATGGGCCCCCGGCAAAAGGAGATCATGGGGCCCCTGTGTCCTCGCACACACCCAAAAAAGCCTATGAAAAAGCCAATGAAAGGTAGCAGTGGCATCTCATGGGGCCCCCTACTGACCCTGGGCCCTTGGGCAGTGCCTGAGTGCTCAAATGGTCAGTCCACCCCTGAATGCCGGTCAGTTTTTATTGCTGTCTGTGCCCCTGTTGGGGAGATCCACCCTCTCTATCTGTCCTGTCTGCCGTTATCACTAAGGCTAGGTTCACATTTATGCAGTTTGCGTTTGAGCCGTTTCTGCATTGCGTTTTGCGTGTTTGACACGTTTTTGTGAATAAGTTTTCCTGTTGATAGGCAGATTTAAAGCACAAAACACAGCAAAAACGCATCAAAAACACACTATATGCTTTTCTGTAGCGTTTCCATTGAAGTCTATAGAACCAAAAACGCAACTTTTTGCAGTCAAAAAGGTCCCTGACCCTTCCCAAAAAATGCACAGGGTGAAAACGCGTGAACGTGTCCCATAGGAAATCATGTTAAATGGACTGTACTGCCTTTGTGCACAACACTGCAGAAAACGCATTGGTGTGGACCTAGGGTTAGGTACCATTCACACCTAAGCGTCGCGGTTTCAAGTGTTTTTTTCCAGCATTTTTTTTTTTAGCGTTTTGTTTGGAGCAGAATTGCACTTTTTGCAGCTTTCAACTAAGAGGTGTGGAGTGCTGCTGTTTGAGCAGAAAATGCACGACAAAACGTTTAAAAATGCTAAAAAAAAGCTCACATAACGCTTTTCAGGCATTTCCATTGAATTCTATTGGGGACAAAAATGCTCAATTCTGCCTGAAAAGTAGCTCATGTACTTTTTTGAGCGACATGCGTTTTGCTACAAATGACAGGACGCTCAGATGTGAACAAGGGCTATTGAAAACAGTAGGTTTTGCTTGTTGAGTGTTTTTGAGCTTTGAGCTGCAAGCTACAAAACAATCCAGTGTGAACGGGGCTTGAGAGTGAAAGTGAAAGAAAATCCCAAATTTTGGGTTGTCCCCAGAACAGGAATAGAGGGGGAATCTTCCAATGGGGACACTAGTTATGGTAGCCCTGGTGACATGCAGGGATTCTTTCCCTTTGAGAGATTTACTTTAAATTCCTGTTTTGGCTGTAGGACAGGAAGTGACGGGAAATCTCCCCAATGGGACACAGATGGCAAAAAATTAAACTGAGAGGGGATATACCCTTCCGTTACTCTTTCCAAAATGAAAAAAAAGTTTTGTATTTCGTCCTACTTTAGTAAATGTTAATGATTAGTCACACAGTCATGATAGAATGTCAGCTTCTCTTAGTAAACATGCATCTTTTATTAAGGAATTATTTCCTCTTAGCACCAAGTGACAGTTAAAACTGTCATTGGTTTATGCAGGCCATAGACAGGGAGAAAACTGGCCGTTTTTTTTAAGAAAAACGAAAAATCGGTCGTTCAGTCTGCCGACGTTACCACCATTGGTAAAAAAAAGTCGGCTGATTTTCGTCCCATCTACGGCCGGCAAATATAATAGCAGTGTCCCTGCAGAGAGCCCCACTATTATATTTGACAGAAGACATAGAATATGAAGAAGAAAAAGAAGAAATAGAATATGAATAAGAAGAAAAAGTTGCAACATTGTATCTATTTGTATCCATTTCGGATACAAATGTTTCTATTCGGATACAAATAGATACAATGTTGCTATACTTTTAAATGTTAAATATAATATCGGACTGAAATTCTTTTTTTTTCTTCTTATTCATATTCTATTTCTCCTTCTTATTCATATTCTATTTCTTCTTTTCTTCTTATTCATATTCTATTTCTCCTTCTTATTCATATTCTATTTCTTCTTTTCTTCTTATTCATATTTCTATTTCTTCTTCTTCTTCATATTCTATTTCTTCTTTTTTTTTTTTCCTTCTTATTCATATTCTATTTCTTCTTTTCTTCTTATTCATATTCTATTTCTCCTTCTTATTCATATTCTATTTCTTCTTTTCTTCTTATTCATATTCTATTTCTTCTTCTTCTTCTTCATATTCTATTTCTTCTTTTTTTCCTTTCTTATTCATATTCTATTTCTTCTTTTTTTCTACTTATTCATAATCTATTTCTTCTTTTTCTTCTTATTCATATTCTATTTCTTCTTCTTCTTATTCATATTCTATTTCTTCTTTTTTCTTCTTATTCATATTTTGTTTCTTCTTATTATTCATATTCTATTTCTTATTTTTTCCTCTTCTTATTCATATTCTATTTCTTCTTTTCTTCTTTTCCTTCTTCTTGCCGGTCACTGCTGATGCGAATTTTTTAAAATCGGTAAAAAGATCGGCCGATTTGTCCATGATTGCCGCGAAAATCGGCTGAATTACAAAATTGGCCGATTTTTTTCCCAACATGACCGACAAAAAAAAGTGTCAAAATCACGAAAAACGGCCAACCGATTACCCCACTAACGATCTGAAAATCGGGTGATTTTTTTTTCAGCTGAAAAGTCAGCCGGTTTTCTCCCCGTCTATGGCCTGCATTAGTCTTTGCATAGCATGGTCTGATGGCTGCTGCAGACGCATAGAGGGGGGGGACATACCTTGTGGCTGCATACCAGCAGTTCAGTCTATTAAGACAGGGCTTGACAAATGTGCTTTGAATCTAGGAGTCAGCTAAAAAAGTTTGGAGCCATTTTTTTTAGAGTAGCATGGGTTGTCAGCTCCCCGGGATAGGCAACCTTTGGCTGATAAGCTTCACGTGATGCGATTTGCCATGCACCAATCACAGCAAAACCTCACCACATTTTAGATGCCATTGAAAATACCGGCACCTGAACCTGTATTTTGCGATCACAGTCATTCTGCCATGATCCCAGAACGCCCAGGTGTGAATGGAGCTGCCCTGGTTCACACGTATGTGATTCTGGATGTGTTTTCAAACTCACAGATTCTCATGACAGACTAGATATTATGTGGTCCTATTGAGGTGGTTCACACAGATGTGCTCCACATACATTGCATTTTTGAGTGCCATTATGAAAAGGGTCCTGTGCAAGTTTGTAGCAGTGCGTTGCAGACTCGCAAGTGATAGAGTGGCATGCGGAGATAAGTGTTCACATAGAATTGCTATTGACAGGAGATTTTGCATTGAAGTCAATGGGAGGCGTTTTGCATTTCAGTCAATGGGATGCATTTTTGCATTTCAGTCAATGGGAGGTGTTTTTGCATTGAAGTACATGAAAGGCATTTTTGCATTGAAGTCAATAGGAGGCATTTTTGTACTGAAGTCAATGGGAGGCATTTTTGCAATGAAGTCAGTGGGAGACATTTTTGCATTGAAGTCAATGAGAGATGTTTTTGCATTGAAGTCTGTGGGATGTGATTTTGCATGGAAGTCAATGGGAGATGTTTTTTCATTGAAGTCAATGGGATGCAATTTTTTCATTGAAGTCACTGGGAGGCAGTGTGTGAACTCAGGCGCCAGGACACTATTTCTAGTTGACATAGTGGCCTGGCACCTGGGATTTGTCAAGCCCTGAATTAACACTATCTTAACACTTTGCATTCACCTCTTTTAGGGGTATAATTACCATTCATGGCACCCCAAAGCAAATTTTTCATTGGCCCCCCGGCAGCCTTTCTAAGTGGAAACTGGCAGAATCAATTTGGACTATAGTGTATTGCAGGGGTCTCCAAACTTTCTAAAGAAAGGGCCAAGTTACTGTCCTTCAGACTTTAAGGGGGGGGCGGACTGTGCCCAGTTGGAGTAAACAAACGCCGATTTTTGGTATTAGGGGGAGAAATAGTTGGTGTCAGTGGGAAGAACAGTGTCTCATTTTTGTTGTCGGAGGATTAGTAGCCCATTGTTGGTGTCAGTGACAGGAATTATTCCCCGTTGTCGGTGTCAGTGGAAGAAATAATGTCTCAAGGGCCGGATAAAGGCAAGCAAAGATCTGCCTGGCCCCAGGGTCTCAGTTTGGAGACCACTGATGTAATTGATCTAAACTTAATAAATGCCTAAATCAAAGACAGGTAGCTGGAGAGTGGTCAGCATAGTCAGGAAATTATTAGGGTCTAGATTTGAACCTACAGGAGGCTGTCACATGATAGCAGGCCGTCTGCCCTATCAGCCGGCTGAACTGAGTTTGGCCTCAACCTTAGCTCATCCTTATCAGGGACAAGTGCTGTGGATACAAGCTTCCAAAGAAGAGCAGTAATGCAGAGAATTCGCTCCGGATACGAATTTGAAATCGTGTGACTTCACTTGAAGTTGAAGTTGCGTAATTTCAAAGTTGCATGTCAGTGCGACTTCAGGTGCGACTTCATCCACAGATGTCAATGCCAGTTGCACCTGAAATTGCAAAAAGCAGCATAGGAAATACTTTCAAAATCGGTGCGCATTGATTTGAATGGTTCTGTTGTGGAAAATAGGCGGACTGTCAAATCACATGACAAGTCGCATAAGTGTGAACCAGGGCAAAATGTTCTCATTAACACACCAGCATCCCCTGATCTTTTTGGAGTATAGGATCTGAGAGCTTTGGTGTAAAACGTAAGGCTGTGGCTTGTTTAGAAGAACTACAAAACTCACATGACATTTTAGTTTGGAGAGACTCTGGGATTTTGTAGTTTTGGGAAGACTATGTTAGGCAATAGGCATACAGGGTTCATTTCAGGAAGCTGGACAAAGGCAATACATCTAAAAGATGGGGGGATGCAAAGGAGATTGGTGACTAGTGACAGCATGATCCCAAAAACTTGTCCTGTGGATCTGACAGTCAGATCTTCTAAGATGTAGACTTCAGAGGATCTGGGTTCATTTTACACTGATTTCCCTGCTTGTTGTCTCAGTTACCTCCTAGTAACAGCTCAGCTATGAGGAAAGATTAGAGGAACTGAATGTATTCTCTCTTGAGAAGAGGAGATTAACCACTAGCCTACAGGGCACTTATACCCCCTTCCTGCCCAGGCCAATTTCCAGCTTTCAGCGTTGTCACACTTTGAATGACAATTGCGCGGTCATGCGATACTGTACCCATATGAAATTTTTATCATTTTTTTGTGACAGATAGAGCTTTCTTTTGGTGGTATTTAATCACTTCTGGGTTTTTTTATTTTTTCTTAAACAAACCAAAAACCACTGAAAATTTTGAAAAAAAAAAAAGTTTTTCCTAGTTTTTGTTATAAAATGTTGTAAATAAGTGATTTTTCTCATTCACTGATGTGCGCTAGTAGGGCACTGATAGGCTGCACTGATGGACACTGATGAGGAGGCACTGGTAGGTGGCACCGATGGGCATTGACAGGCATCACTGATGGGCACTGAAAGGCAGCACTCATATATGGCACTGATAGGCGGCACTGATAGGTGGCACTGATAAGCGGCACTGACTGGCACTGATAGGCGGCACTGACTGGCACTGTTAGGTGGCACTGACTGGCACTGTTAGGCGGCACTGATAGGCAGCACTAACGGGGACTGATAGGTGGCACTGATGCACACTGATAGGCGGCACTGACTGACACTGATAAGTGGCACTGATTGGCAGCACTGACAGGTGGCATTGACTGGCACTGATGGGTGACACTGAAAGGCAGCTCAGGTGGGCACTGATATGTGGAATTGATGTGCACTGGTAGGCACTGATAGGTGGCATTGATGTGGCACTGATGGGCACTGGCAGGTGGCATGGATGAGCACTGACAGCTGGCACTGATGGACACTGACAGGTGGCACGGCTGGGGCTACACTAATCATCAGTGCACATGTCCCCTCTGAGGGATGCCGATTACCGGCTCTGCTCTCTTCTTGAGCTGTCAGCGTGACAGCTCGTGAGGAGAGAAATGCCGATAACCGGCATTTCCCTATTTACATGTGATCAGCTGTGATTGGACACAGCTGATCACATGACCAAGCCAACATCTTCGGCTCTTTCCATTGATCGGTGATCTGCTGTGTCCGAGGGACACAGCGCACCACCGATCACCGCGCTGTGCACTCCCGGAGCCGTGCATGCGCGGTTAGAATGGGAGGACATCATATGACATCATCCCAGAACGAAAGAACCGCCTTGCACCCGTCATTGCACCAAAGAGGGTGCACGGTGATGTTAGGGAGGGTGTGACATTCTTGACATCTGATGTAATGGAGGGTGGGGTGCTCTGGACATCTAGTCTTACATACAGTGGGGCAAAAAAGTATTTAGTTAGCCACCAATTGTGCAAGTTCTCCCATTTAAAAAGATGAGAGAGGCCTGTAATTGGCATCATAGGTAGACCTCAACTCCAGAAAAAAAATCCAGACAATCACATTGGCTGATTTGGAAAGAATTTATTTGCAAATGATGGTGGAAAATAAGTATTTGGTCAATATCAAAAGTTCATCTCAATAATTTGTTATATATCCTTTGTTGGCAATGACAGAGGTCAAAGGTTTCCTGTAAGTCTTCACAAGGTTGGCACACATTGTTGCTGGTATGTTGGCCCATTCCTCCATGCAGATCTCCTCTAGAGCAGTGATGTTTTGGGGCTGTCGCTGGGCAACACGGACTTTCAACTCCCTCCAAAGGTTTTCTATGGGGTTGAGATCTGGAGACTGGCTAGGCCACTCCAGGACCTTGAAATGCTTCTTATGAAGCCACTCCTTCATTGCCCGGGTGGTATGTTAGGGGATCATTGTCATGTTGGAAGACCCAGCCACGTTTCATCTTCAATGTCCTTGCTGATGGAAGGAGGTTTGCCCTCAAAATCTCACGATACATGGCCCCATTCATTCTGTCCTGTACATGGATCAGTCGTCATGGTCCCATTGTGGAGAAACAGCCCCAAAGCATGATGTTGCCACCCCCATGCTTCACAGTAGGTATGGTGTTCTTTGGATGCAACTCAGCATTCTCTCTCCTCCAAATGCGACGAGTTGTGTTTTCTACCAAACAGTTCTATTTTGGTTTCATCTGACCATATGACATTCTCCCAATCCTCTTCTGGATCATCCAAATGCTCTCTAGCAAACTTCAGACGGGCCCGGACATGTACTGGCTTAAGCAGGGGGACACGTCTGGCACTGCAGGATCGGAGTCCCTGGCGGCGTAGTGTATTACTGATGGTAGCCTTTGTTACGTTGGTCCCAGCTCTCTGCAGGTCATTCACTAGGTCCCCCCGTGTGGTCCTGGGATTTTTGCTCACCTTTCTTGTGATCATTTTGACCCCACGGGGTGAGATCTCGCGTGGAGCCCCAGATCGAGGGAGATTATCAGTGGTCTTGTATGTCTTCCATTTTCTAATTATTGCTCCCACAGTTGATTTGTTCACACCAAGCTGCTTGCCTATTGCAGATTCAGTCTTCCCAGCCTGGTGCAGGTCTACAATTTTGTTTCTGGTGTCCTTTGACAGCTCTTTGGTCTTCACCATAGTGGAGTTTGGAGTGTGACTGTTTGAGGTTGTGGACAGGTGTCTTTTATACTGATAACAAGTTCAAACAGATGCCATTGATACAGGTAATGAGTGCAGGACAGAGGAGCCTCTTAAAGAAGAAGGTACAGGTCTGTGAGAGCCAGAAATCTTGCTTGTTTGTAGGTGACCAAATACTTATTTTCCACCATAATTTGCAAATAAATTCTTTCCAAATCAGCCAATGTGATTGTCTGGATTTGTTTTCTCATTTTGTCTCTCATAGTTGAGGTCTACCTATGATGCCAATTACAGGCCTCTCTCATATTTTTAAGTGGGAGAACTTGCACAATTGGTGGCTGACTAAATACTTTTTTGCCCCACTGTATACAACCAGCTCTTTGAGGGCAATCATAATGCTGATATGGCCACGATGAAATGGAGTTTGACACCCCTGCCTTATAGGAAGAGTTTGATTTATCTTTTGTTGCAAAATTCAGTTTTTAACAAGGTGCTGATATTTTTTTTTTCTTAAATAGAACCTGTAGCTGCACCATACAGTGCCTTGAAAAAGTATTCATACCCTTTGAAATTTTCCACATTTTGTCATGTTACAGCTAAAAACACAAATGTATTTTGTTGGGATTTTATGTGATAAACCAACACAAAGTGGCACATAATTGTGAAGTGGAAGGAAAATGATAAATGGTTTTAAACATTTTTTACAAATAAATATCTGAAAAGTGTGGCATGCATTTGTATTCAACACCCTTTACTCTGATACCCCTAACTAAAATCTAGTGGAACCAATTGCCTTCAGAAGTCACCTAATTAGTAAATAGAGTCCACCTGAGTAGAATTTAATCTCAGTATAAATACAGTTGTTCTGTGAAGCCCTCAGAGGTTTGTTAGAGAACATTAGTGAACAAACAGCATCATGAAGACCAAGAAACACATCAGACAGGTCAAGGATAAAGTTGTGGAGAAGTTTAAAAGCAGGGTTAGGTTATTAAAAAATATCCCAAGCTTTGAACATCTCATGGAGCACTGTTCAATCCATCATCCAAAAATGAAAACCTACCAAGACATGGCCGTCCACCTAAACTGACAGGCCGGGCAAGGAGAGCATTAATCAGAGAAGCAGCCAAGAGGTCCATGGTAACTCTGGAGTAGCTGCAGAGATCTACAGCTCAGGTGGGCGAATTTGTCCACAGGACAACTATTAGTCGTGCACTCCACAAATCTGGCCTTTATGGAGGAGTGGCAAGAAGAAAGCCATTGTTGAAGTCCAATTTACAATTTTTGAGAAGCCATGTGGGCGACACAGCAAACATGTGGAAGAAGGTGCTCTGGTCAGGTGAGACCAAAATTGAACGCTATGTGTGGCGGAAAACTAACACTGCACATCACCCTGAACACACCATCCCCACCGTGAAACATGGTGGTGGCAGCATCGGGAATGCTTTTCTTCAGCAGGGACAGGGAAGCTGGTCAGAGATGATGGGAAGATGGATGGAGCCGAATACAGGGAAATCTTAGAAGAAAATGAAAATTCTGCAAAAGACTGGGGCAGAGGTTCACCATCCAGAAGGACAATGATTCTAAACATACAGCCAAAGCTAAAATGGAATGGTTTAGATCAAAGCATATTCATGTGTTAGAATGGCCCAGTCAAAGTCCAGAACTAAATCCAACTGAGAATCTATGGCAAGACATGAAAATTACTGTTCACAGATGCTCTCCATCCAGCTGACAGAACTTGAGCTATTTTGCAAAGAAGAATGGGCAAAATGTCCCTCTCTAGATGTGCAAAGCTGGTAGAGACATCCCCAAAAAGACTTGCAGCTGTAATTGCAGCGAAAGGTGGTTCTACAAAGTATTGACTCGGGGGGGGGGGGGGGGGGGGGGCGGGGGGGGCTGAATACAAAAACACACCACACTTTTCACATATTTATTTGTAAAAACTTTTGACAACCATTTATAATTTTCCTTCCACTTCACAATTATGTGCCACTTTGTGTTGGTCTATCACATCAAATCCCAATAAAATATTTACGTTTTTGGTTGTAACATGACAAAATGTGGAACATTTCAAGGAGTATGAATACTTTTTCAAGGCGCTGTACTTACAATAAATAATCATTAACATATCTACAAGAATATCCTAACCCCAGTGTTGTAGTCTGTACATTGTATAGCAAATAGGTTTATTGTAAGCAATGTAGCCGTATATCCTAATGGTGGAATCGGGGTATTAGTTTGATTCGGATGAGTTGGTTCTGTAACTGGTACGCAGTGGCAGTGGTGCTCTTCCCCCTGGTATAGTACTGTATATTATTTTTTCCATTTAAATCTGTGGTGTGTAAAATATTACATTTCTTTTATATTACACACCTCAGTTTTGTAATCTCTTTGGAAAGAATAAAATAAAAATGTTTCAGAACTGATAGTATTATCATTCTACTAGATGTTGAAAGGATGCAGTGAAAGTTGAGTGTTGTTGAAACATTCGGTGCCAAATTCTGAATACACATGGACTAATTTACAGGACGCTATCCTTACTGAATATTTCATACGTCCGGTATTATGTGACTGACCTAGTAACCGTATTCCTGCTGCTTACACAACACCGTACCACTTCACGTCTAATATCCAGATCCCTACACTCTGCCTCTTTCTATTACTGTCTATTCTGTGGGAAGGACACACTAGTCAAAATTGAACATTAATCCATCATTAGAAAAACATGGAGGCAGCCTTGAATATACTAGCTGCTTGGCTGTTGTGCTGACTCTCTTGCTTCAGTATTATGTCAGCAGGTCTTTTTTTTCTCACAGAATAGCTGCAGGAACTCCACTTTTCTGAGTCACTTCCAGGGGCAGACTGACAACTCATGGGGCCCCTGGGCAATAGGGGATCATGGGGCCCCTGTGTCCTTGCCCAAACTCAAAAAAGCCTATGAAAAAGGTACCAGGGGCATCTCATGGGGCCCCCTAATGACCCCGGGCCCTCGGGCAGTGCCCGAGTCTCCAAATGGTCAGTCCGCCCCTGGTCACTTCTTGTCTTTGCCGCCCTTACCCACTCTCGAGCACAGTTTCTTGGTTCCACCCTTTACCCACCTCCTAGTACCGATTGCAGGACTTCTCTAGGACTTCCCCCATCCTCTGGAACTCCCTACCCCAATCCATCAGACTGTCACCTACCCTCCTCACCTTCAGGCGCACCCTGAAAACCCTCGTCTTCCGGGAATCCTACCCCAACCTCACCTAACACCTGACCTCACCTAACAACTACCCTCCTCCACTCCTCCCACCACTCCATCCCCCACAGCCATTTCCTCCTGTACCACCTTCCCCTCCCTCCTAGATTGTAAGCTGGGCCCTCGAACTCCTCGTGTATTGTTACTGTCTTGTCTCATGTTCTGTCCCCTTTGCTACTGTACAGCACTGAGCATACCCTTTGGCGCTATATAAATACTGTATAATAATAATAATAAAGAGCTAAGTATCATTTTGTGGTGCTAAGCAAATTGTATGGAATTTATTAATGATAACAATAAAAGCAATAACCCCTCCTCCACCTTCCCCAGCAACAATAAATTCCCCCAGATACAATGGACCCCCACAACAAAATACCACTACAGAAACAATAGACCCCCAGTTGCAACACAACAACAGATCTCCCAGCAGCCAGCATCAATAAACTCTACAGTAGCCAGCAACAATATACTCCTCCCATAACAGTAGATCCCTTCCAGCAACAATAGACCCCCCAGCAACAATAGACCCCCCAGCAACAATAAACTGCCACACAAAAATTGATGCCCTCCAGTGACAATAGATCATCCAGCAGAACAGACCTTCCAGCACACCCCAGCACCCCTTGCCATTACATACACTATATTGCCAAAAGTAATGGGACACCCCTCCAAATCATTGGATTCATGTGTTCCAATCACCTCCATGGCCACAGGTGTATAAAATCAAGCACCTAGGCATGCAGACTACTTCTACAAACATTTGTGAAAGAATGGGTCGCTCTCAGGAGCTCAGTGAATTCAAGCGTGGTACCGTGATAGGTTGCCACCTGTGCAATAAGTCCATCCGTGAAATTTCTTTGCTACTAAATATTCCACAGTCACCTGTTAGTGGTATTATAACAAAGTGGAAGCAACTGGGAACAACAGCAACTCAGCCAGGAAGTGGTAGGCCACGTAAAATCACAGAGCAGGGTCAGCGCATGCTGAAGCGCACTGTTCATAAAAGTCACCAACTGCCTGCAGAGTCAGTAGCTAAAGACCTCCAAAAATTGATGTGGCCTTCAGATTAGCACAACAACAGTGCGTCGAGAGCTTCATGGAATGGGTTTTCATGGCTGACCAGCTGCATCCAAGGCTTACATCATCAAGTGCAATGCAAAGCGTCAGATGCAGTGGTGTAAAGCACGCTGCCACTGGACTCTAGAGCTTCTCTGTCTGGCAAGCCGATGGACATGTCTAGGTTTGGTGGTTGCCAGGAGAACGTTACTTGCCTGACTGCATTGTGCCAAGTGTAAAGTTTGGTGGAGGGGGGATTATGGTGTGGGGTTGTTTTTCAGGGGTTGGGCTTGGCCCCTTAGTTCCAGTGAAGTGAACTCTTAAGGAGTCAGCATGCCAAGACATTTTGGACAATTTCATGCTCCCAACTTTTGGCTATAAATCTTCTGTAGACCACAGAAGTGCACTTCATTGTAACTAGGGTTGCCACCTCATCCCTTTAAAACTGAACACATATTAATTACACAGGTTCTGAGACGAATTTAATGCAGATAAGGCACCAAGCAAGTTTAATTACCACCTTAATCAGCTGCAGAACCTGTGTAACTAATATGTGTTTGGTTTTAAAGGGATGAGGTGACAACCCTACCTGTAACCTGTATTCAGTCTACAGTGGGCTAAAGTCTGCTGTCAGACGATGTTACAGAGCCGGTCCAGGCGCTGGAAGAATCCTGAGTTGAATGTCGGGATGCCACTGAGAGCCTGAGCTGGCCCCTCCCTCCCCCTCCACAGCCCAGTGTTCCAGTGAGTGCCGGAAGGGCAGAGCAGAGAGCTGGAGACTGACAGCCACCAGCTTTCTGTTCACTGAAGACCGGGAATTGAGCGACTGGTGGTGTTTTATTGTTCAGTTCTCAGTCTGAGGTGGCAGGGGACAGATGTAGCATCCAACTTAAGGAGTATGAATTTTTTTCTTTTTTAGAATCCCAAACATCTCTTTTAAGCCATTCTGACTACAATGGCGCAGATCGCGTCATGCATTGTGTGTGCAGTGTCACATTGCACCAAAAATGGCCAGGGCAGGATGAGAAGAGACTTTCTCACCCTTGGGGACAATTTGTGTCACCTATCTTCTATTTATGTCTGTGAATGCAATACACGTCCTATTCTGTATAAAATTGGTTTTGACATCCTACACCAGGGGTCTCCAAACTTTCTAGATGAAGGGCCAGTTTACTGTCCTTCAGACTTTAGGGGGGGGGCGGACTATGACCTTTGAGAGTAGAAAAGGTCCCAATCTCAGTGGAGCAAAAACAATGCCCCATCTTTAGTTTCAGTGGGAAGAATTGTGCCACATTGTTGGTTTTAGTGAGAGGAATTGTGCCCCATTAACGGTGTCATTGTGACCCATCATTAGTGTCATTGGGAGAAATTGTGCCCCATATTTGGTGTCATATGGAGGAATAGCGTCACATCATTTGTGTAAGTAGGGGGAATTATGCCCCATCATTGGTGTCAGTGGGTCCCATTGTTGGTGTCATTAAGAGAAATTGTGCCCCATCGTTGGCATCATTGGGAGGAATTGTGCCCCATAATTGGTGTCATATGGAGGAATAGTGTCCCATCATTTGTGTCAGTAGGGGGAATTATGCCCAATCATTGGTGTCAGTGGACTCCATTGTTGGTGTCATTGGGATAAATTGTACCCCATCATTGGTATCATTGGGAGAAATTGTGCCCCATCATTGGTGTCAGTGGGGGGAATTATGCCCCATTGTTGGTATCAGTGGATGAAAAAGTGCCTCAAGGGCCAGACAAGAGCAAGCATCGGGCTGCAGTTTGGAGACCACTGTCCTACACTATGGAGTGTTTGTGATACTCTTTGTTCTTTAGTTTCTGACAAATATGAACAAGTTCTAAGCTATACATGCAGTTCTTGGGTGGTGTTCCAGTGTGCAACATACCTTTTCTCCACTGACTTGAAATGCAATCGCTGATAATTTGAAAATAATCCGAGGTCCTCCTGCGCTATGAGAAAGAATGTACTCAACCTAATCCAATAGCCGCCAGCACTCAAAACTGATACCAATCCACAGTGTCAAATAAATCATAAAAAAACAGTGCAGCGCTCTAGGAAACTGTATCTGCAACTAAATGCTAATAACACAATAACATTAATAAAATTGATATAATAGTGCCAAAAAACATTTAAATTAGTGCCAAACCTTAACCATATAAATGGTGTATACACAGTTAATAGTGATAGATTGTACTCCAAACATAACATCCAATAACGGAAATCTTAGCAGTGCTCACACAGTGCCACAAAAAAATAATAAATAAATATAGATAAATGTATCCAAAACAATGTCCTTTTCGTGAAAAACGACATAAATCATGCGATGTGCAATAGTGATGTTGAATGCAACACGTGACTGTGCCAAACTCCTCCTCGTTAGTGGCTAAATTGCCTCCTCACCTCCTCCTACTGACCCCGAGGGGCCAACAGGCTTGCAGGATCACCCTGGATCCTTAATAGACCATGACCAGCAGCTTCCTTCCTTCCCTGGATCTCCTTAGGGGGGCTCCTAATTCCCCTATTTGGTCAGGGCGGTCCTGAAGAATAATAGCTCACAATCCAGTGAGCCACAAAAAAGCCTCTAAGTGCAGTATTTCAATTTGATTCGGTTTATTAAAGAGAGTAAAAAAGGTTTCACTCACATTACAGACACTCTTTCCTCTTCCCTGATGTGTGGGTGTACTGCATGTGGCTGGGACCTCTTGGGTGTAGCAAAATGGCGTCTCCCGCCGGAAATGCGTCATTATGCGTATTATATCAATTTTATTAATGTTATTGTGTTATTAGCATTTAGTTGCAGATACAGTTTCCTAGAGCGCTGCACTGTTTTTTATGAATCGCTGATAATTGTGGCTTGCAGCTGTTGTCCATTGCCTGATCCCAATACAAGTCAATAGGACGCAGCACAACGAAGTGTACTGTAGGCTGTTTGGGGCTGTGCGGCTTCCATGGCTGATAATTGGGTACAGATTGGTTATCTTCACAAAATGTGGTGACTGGTTAGAGTACATAGTTACATAGTTAGTCTGGCTGAAAAAAGACAAAAGTCCATCCAGTTCAACCATAAAAAAAGTTATAATCCTACACCCACAGAGGAAGGCAAAAAAACCCCACAGGGAAGCATGAACCAATTTGCTCCTGCAGAGGAAAAAAATCCTTCCTGATCCCCCGAGAGGCAATCAGATATTCCCTGGATCAACTTTACCTATAAATGTTAGTATCCAGTTATAATCTGTGTATCTAGGAAAGAATCCAGGCCTTTTTTAAAGCAATCCACTGAGCTGGCCAGAACCAACTCTTGAGGGAGTCTATTCCACATTTTCACAGCTCTCACTGTGAAGAAACCTTTCCATGTTTGGAGATTAAATTTATTTTCCAAGGATGTAAGTATTAGTCAGAAAAGCAACCAAGAAGCAGGGGGAGGAGCATTGACACCCTGGCCTACAGGAAGTAAGTTGAGCTACACTGTGAGTCTGTGGGGACAGCACCGGAGATCAGGTGAGCATAGCAGCCAGAGCTGCTTTTTTATTTTAGGAGCTTTAGGGGATCAGTTGATTCATTTTTTTTGCCCAAGGTGAAATTAGGCTTTTGACTTGCACCCTTTGTGTTCCTGCTGTGCTTGTGACCAAATTGTCAGTTGTTATGCACAATACACCTTTTTTTTGCATAAAGTACAGTGATTGGTGTGAAAACATTAGGTCATGGCTTAAATAGTTCACCTTTTGTGCATTCCACAAAACCTCATGTTTGTTATTAACTTTCTATGTTAAACATTTACAGTGGGCATAAGTGCTTGTTAAACAAGATTGTCTCTCTCCCTGCACAATGATGTCAAGCAAGCCTTGGGCAACGCGTTACACATTCACCAGAAGGACATGACAGCTGATCTCCGGGGGAATTTAAAGATACCCTTGCACTTTGGTCATGTGCATACATTGTCACTTTGCCCTAAATCATTCCCTCTCTGTTGTACCTCTTTTTGGTTTACTGTATAGATCTCTGTAAAAATAATGTACTACCTTAAGCCGGCCACAGATGGATTGAAATTCGGCTAATTCAGCAGGAACTGGACAAATTCTGATCCATTTTTGGGCAGGCTGGTTGTATTAAAGTTGATCTGTTGATTGACTTCAGTACAGCCAGCCTGTTGGGTTTTTTTCTTGGTATGATCACAGATGCTGTCTATAGCTGTCAGGGCAGGAGCTGAGGAACGGACAGGCAGGCCTAAACAATGCAACGCACTGGCTGACGACAACCACCACCCACAGACCGAAGTCCCTCAGGGCGCGGAGTCTAAGTCCCAGGCTGCACTTCACCAGGGCCCCTGATGGTGGGGATGGACTTGACGCAGCCAGGAACCAGGTCGCGGCCCCCGAGACACCTCAGTTGCGGTAATGGCCGCCACCAATGGCGTGTAGCTGGTGGAAAAGACAATAGAGTAGTCAGGCAGGCCGGGTCGACAACAACGGGACAAAATGGTACAGGACAGCAGAAGTGAATCACAGGTCACAAGCCGGGTTCAGCAACAGAGGGTCAGATCAAAGGAGAACACAAAGAATAGTCGATTCACAAGCCGAGTCAGATTCCAGGAGAGTCACGAGAGTCAGAACAGAGTAATAGCGACACAAAGACACAAGACACAAGTGCAAAGAGCATGTGCGGACCACAGGCTTATATGTCATCAGCCACTCTCCTCTGGGGGATGGACCTCAGAGACCTGAAGGCATAAAGGATTCCCACCATGCTCAGCAGAAATCCAAGATGGATGCCAGCACATGGAGTAACATAACCTCTGGGAAAAGGTAGGACCTTGACAATAGCCAGTGGCAGTTATCATTGTATTCTGACAGCGGGGAAACCTCCCAATGTCAGGATACAATAGCGTTGCATTGATGGGGGTGGTCGAGCGATTTTTTTCCCTTCCACCTGCGGTTGAATGAAAGAAAATTGCATAATGACCAGCCTTACACTTTTTATCCAATAGAGAAAAAACAAACAAACAGAGGGCGCACTGGCCTAGTGCAGGGGTGGGCAACTGTGGCCCTCC